ACCTTTTTTTGGGACTTTGGGACCTGTTTTTTGGACTTTGGGACCTTTTTTTTGGGACTTTGGGACCTGTTTTTTGGACTTTGGGACCTTTTTTTGGGACTTTGGGACTTTGGGACCTTTTTTTGGACTTGTGAGTGCCTCTGCCATGCCAAGGGATATAGAGAGGACACGACGTAGAATTGTTTTGTAGAAGGCCGAAGGAATTGTTGAAGCAACTGAAGTTGATTTGTACGTCTAGAGCCTTGATGCATTTAAAACCAGCGAGCTGTCCTACGGAGGGTCTTTTTTTTTTCTTTTTTTTTTTCGGCCCCTGGATCAGGAATGGCTGGAGTCCGGTCCGTCAGGTGAGTAATGGGGCGAAGGTACCGTTCAACAATCTCTGGATGGGTTACCTACCATTGTCGGCATCACATCTGGTACCCATCTATCCAGGGGCTTCCTCTCCAACAGGCCCCTTATTTAGCATCACCCACCGGATCACGTCTGCAGAAAGCCCCTGGATAGATGGGTACCGATCTCGTGGATAATGCTTGTTCAACCGACTACGAAACTCGAGAGCTGAGCTGCAAGTTTCTCTTCTTTCTCCTCTTGAGAGTTTTCGTCTAGCATTCGTTCTTCAGGCTCTCTTCATACGACTGGCACACAGAGAGAGAGAGAGAGAGAGAGAGGCAGGGAAGCATTTGTTCGTCAGGCTCTCTTCATATAACTGACATTTTTTTCTAAATTCATGAAATTGAGCGTACGAAAAAAACAGTAACAGTATTGTTTAGCGTTTTTTTTGTCCCCATGACACCAGACTAGATGATGGTCGGGCGTCGGATGTATTTTGACAGTATTTTACGCTGAGATACATCAGATGGTCAAAGTGAGATAACCACTTTCTCACCCAATGAGGAACAATCAAATTTTGACTAAGTCCACTTTCGTGAATTAGAAAAAGATGTTAGTTTTAACGAAATGTCAGTTATATAACTTGCACACACGGAGAGAGAGAGAGAGAGAGAGAGAGAGAGAGAGAGAGAGAGAGAGAGAGAGAGAGAGAGAGAGAGAGAGAGAGAGACAAAGATGGAGAGCATGTTTTCGCAAAACATGACGGGAAAAGTTTTGAGCTTTTGATCCGTGAATGGCTACTTGCCAACCTGTGTTATTGTCCCTTAAGAGTGGATGATTCACATCTGCTGGCTTGTATTTGAGGACGTGTAATGGTGTTGCAGTGTGTGGATGGTGTGCATCCATTTGTGCATGAGCCAAAGGGCTCATGATTGTCATGTTTTGTTTTTTTCTTTCCAGTACATAGAAGGATGTCATGTTTCAGGGCTGCTCTGCTGCTTATTGTTTTGCTACAGTTTTGGGCAGTTTGGCTAGTTGTCTTTGGAATGGAAAATGGCGCCTTGACTCCGTGAGCTGTGGGTGAAATAATCGCCTACACGGGGAAATGCGAATTTGTTGGCTGGAAATAGGATGCAAAACTTGTTCTTGGGCCATGAACGGAGACTTGAATCAAGGTGTCCTCTTTAGTGCTATTAGTTTTTTTTTTGTGTGTATTGTCCTGCTCTCAAGCTCTAGCTGTGTTGATCGCCGCGCACTGGAGCTCACTCATTACTCTCTCTCTCTCTCTCTCTCTCTCTCTCTCTCTCTCTCTCTCTCTCTCTGTGCCAGTTATATGAATTGAGCCTGAAGAATAAATGCTTACCTGCCTCTCTCTCTCTCTCTCTCTCTCTCTCTCTCTCTCTCTCTGTGCCAGTTATATGAAGAGAGCTTGAAGAACAAATGCTTAACTGCCCCTCTCTCTCTCTCTCTCTCTCTCTCTCTCTCTCTCTGGAGCTCACTCAGTAGTCTTCTCCCCAGTTGTTCTGGCTGCACACCTCTCGAGTCTGTTGTACAGCATTGGAAGGACGAGGAACTGAGCACAGCCAGTTTTTCTTAGTTGTTGTTCTTTTACAGAAGAGTTGGTGGGATGGGAGAAATGACCGAGAAAGAAGGTTCTTGCACTTGTTGCTTCTGGATTCTAAGACGAAATCGCTTGTGGTTGTGGCTGATGATTGATTTTGTGGGTTTCCAGATTCCATGCCAACACGTCTTCTGCTTGACATGTGCACGAGCGGAGAGAACCTGCTGCTTGTAAGTTCATGGTGAAGATCAACCATCCTATCCTACCCATCTGCCGCCCTCTTTACTGCATGAGCGCACGCCTTTCTTTGGTAGAGTCAGAATTTTTCCGCACAAGCCTTCTTCCGTCAACGATACCAGTCGTCGCAGTACTTTGATGTCATTACTTCGTTTCCAAACCCGGAAAGTTGATGACAGTACTTTGCAATTCGAATCCAGAAGGCTGCCGACTGAATTTGAGGTGAATTCATCTGTTCCATTGTTTTTTTTTTTTTTTTTTTGTTTTTTACGAATCTGGTCATGTTTTTTGTTCTCATGCTTGGACATTTCTAAACGTGTATGTGCTGGCTGCTGAAAATGTATGTATGAAGTATTATGAACATGCAACTCTATGTGGAATCGTGAATACAATCTGCTTCTTAACCTTCTCATTATTTATGCGGAACCGCGAATAGAGTCTGCTTCTTAACCTGCTCACTATTTGTGTTCGTCCCTGAGTCGATTTGTGTTTTCTTGCAGCCAGCGCCCCAACATGAATACATGATCATTTCACTGAAACTTCTCCATTTTCTCTCTGTTGTTAGGATGCGTGGAATGGGGGTGTGGGAAGTTTCAGCGGAACGATCTTGCCGCCGTCCTTCTGAACGATTGATTCATGGCGTGGTCCTCTGTTGCCTGCTGTATTTTCATTTTCACAAGCTTGCACTCGTGTTGGCGTGGTCCTCTGTTGCCTGCCGCCCTTTTGATAACCAGGGGTTCGAACACATGGGTGGTCAATATATCGAAATAGTAAAATACAGAGAATTCCCTTCCTGTTCCGCTCTTCCCCCCCCCCTCCCCTCCCCCCCCCCTCCTCTTGCCTTTTGCATTACTTTGTCGGGGAGGCCCTTCGACGTAGGGGGGGGCTGTATATGTGGTTAGCTTGTCAACAGCAAGCCGACTTCAGCGTCGACAAATCTAGAATAGTGTATCAGCTCTGTACGCAGCTTTCTGTACTGGGTGGACCTCCTTTCCCTTTTCCTAATCCTAACCTATATTTCTCTTTGAATATTTCCACTAATCCCTGCCTCTCTCTCACTATAACTCTGTCAATTATACCGGTGTACTACGTATGTCAGCAGCGGCGGGTCACAGCTCTCTCCTCCCCTGCCTTCTCTGTCTACTACTGTTTCTGTGTCTCCTCTATCTTACTTCCGCTGATCTGTGTATGATGCTCATTTGGCATCGTGGCCGTTCCACCTCTTCGCTGCCCATATGTCTATCCGTCTGTCTTCTTAAACGAGACTATGTTTGTGGTCTCTTATGGCTGTTGGGGCTGGGGTTGCCCCCGTGGTCACTCAATCTAGCCCGGGGATGGAAGAGCATGAGCAGCGAGGGGCTTGTTTTTTCTTTGCCTTTCTGTCTGGCTTTGGGCATTGGAGCAAGCAGTGAGTCGGCGGTTTTGAAGGGACTTAGTCCGGATGCTCTGGAAGGAATTTGCGCGCATCCACGCCGTTTCTTCCCTAGTCTGCCCGGCTTTGTGTTGGCTTGTAGCAGCTGGCTTACGAGTATAGAGGTAGATACAAAGACAAAGGTGAAATATAATATTCAAGACTTATCACCTTCGGAGGGTTGGTACTGGAGTATCCTTTGAGGTTCACTGTCCAGCAATCTTGTGGGCTGGACTCGGCATTTCGCTGGTATTTGTACTCTCTCTCTCTCTCTCTCTCTCTCTCTCTCTCTCTCTCTCTCTCTCTCTCTCTCCCCCCCCCTCTCTCCCCCCCCCCCCCCCCCTCCTCCCCCAGATAATAACCTCTGCATGGTTGATTATGGGATTGGGTTCTTGTAGGCAAAAAAACAGTGTTACTCAAGTTCTCTCATCGGCTGACAGTTTTGTAAGGGGCGTGGAGTTTTGGGACGTGGAGTTTTGGGACATACGACGGACAGTATCTGTGGGCTGTATGGTGGAGTTTTGCGCATGTATTGATAGGATTGTCTGGCCGCAATGCAGGTGCAGAGGCCCAGTGGCGAAGATTGATGAACTGGATGCGAAGGAGGGTATGTTCATATGTGCTGTGCAGTCGTGTTGGCGGTCCTTCCTTTCAAAGGCGGCTTTGGAGACTCATGTTCGGGAGCAGCATCCAAACTTCTCGAGGGCGCCGAGGCGACCAATGCAACCACCAACTACACCTCCCCCGCATCTTCAGCAGCAAGCAGTTTTACCACCAGTGCATCCAGTGGCAGCAGGCCCGAAACCACCACCACCTGTTTTCGCTTTGCCGGCCGCGCCGCCGCTTCAGGGAGTTGCCCAGAGTCAGCAAATGCCTCCTGTCTCTGCGGTGCCACACCAACAGCAGCCACCGCAGCCAGTGCAGCCCCCCCCCCCGCCAAGCCAAGCAGTGCTGCTGCAGTCACCAGCAGAGGCAGAACCACCTACCCCAGGTCTCGCACCGTTGCAGCCAAACCCACCGCCAGTGTCAGCGGGACCTTCGCAAGGGTTGATAGCAGTGGGACCACCACCGCCAAATCCGCCAGTGATGGGTTTTCAGCGACGGCGCTTTCAGCCAATGGGTCCTGTCTTTGGTGGCGGTAGCGGAGGCGGTGGCACTAATAGCAACAGTGGCGGTGGCAATAACCAGGGAGGGGATGGTGGTGGTAGTGGAGGAGGAGGAGGAGGAGGAGGCGGCGGCATGCATGGGCCTCCTCGGAACAATCCCGGTGGTCCTCCTGGAGGGCCAATGCCTGGAGCAGGTAACATGCCTCCCGGGGGGCGACATGGAGGCGGTGGGCCGCCAGGAATGGGACTAGATGCGGGACCGCCAGGGCATCCGCAGCTTAACGAGGATGTTTTCAGGCCACCAATGCATTTCATGGGGCCCATTGGGGCAGGGATGTTTGGTCCCATGGGTAACATGCCCTTAGGGCCCCCGGGGGGAATGACCATGCCTATGGGAGGTGGTGGTATGGATGGTCACCAATTCCCTCCAGGCATGTCATTTGGACAGCTGGGTATGCCTCCACACATGAAGAGAGGAGGCTTCGGGCGCATCGGGCCTGGTCCAGGGGGAGGAGATGTCCAGATGATGGATCCTCAAGGAGGTGGAGGTAACTTTGGTTGGGGGAGAGGGAGAGGTGGTGGGCCATGGCTTCAATAATCTATAGAGGATTGTGAATGATGGCCTTCCTGGAGGAGCTTTCACATCGAACAAGAATGGCATCTGCGTGCTCTGTCCGAGCAAATTGGGGACAGTTACAGAACTTCCAACAACTGTATCCAGCTTGCGACTGGATTGGACTCCCGCAATCTTGCTGGACCCCGAGCGAGAACATGAAGCGTCAGATGGATGAGAGGGAGCAAGGACTGAGATCGACGCGTTTGCAGCCGACAAGATACTCCGATCCAGCCTCGAAGAAAAGAAAAGGAAAGAAAGAGTGAGTGCCATACTAGAATCATCGCGTACGGCTGCAGCCGAATCTCTGCGACTCATGCTCGCCCTTTCTGGACACAATCGGATTCATGAGCGGTTCAAAGACGTGCGGGATCAGCGCCTTCATGACAAAATGTACCAGAACCGAGCAAAACCTCCCCCCCCTCTGAGTTGCAAGGGGTCATCCTTTCTTAGGGCTGTACTTTGTCCTGAATGAGGCACAGATTCCTCGTTACTTGTGCGTCTTTCGGTCATGAAGAAGCGTCCCCTGCAGGGGAGCGAGGGACGTGCTCCCTTTTCTTTTCTGAGAAGAGAAAATCGTTTCGCCAGAGATGTCGGATGGCTGCCGAAGCGGTGTAGAAACCTGTTCTGTTTTCGTTTCTGAGAAGAGAAACATGTCACCAGAGGTGTTGTATTGCTGCTGAAGTAGTGTCCCCTGCAGCAGAGGGACGTGAAGACCATCTCACCAGAGATGCCCATCATACGCTTGCTGCATTGCATTTTGGACGTGACCATGATCTCAACGTATGTCACTGTGCTCTTCGCGATCAGTGAGGCCTTTGGTTATGCCCGTCTGTAATCCTCCCGTTCTTTGAACGCCACAGTCGACCAGGTTCCATGCACTAAGTTTGCCGGGCTCCGACCAGGTTCCGTTTCAGCCCCAAGGTCTGTGTGTTTGCAGAGCCACTCCTCCGCCTAGTGTTCCCCAAGCAGTGGTGTGAAGCCCTCTCGCAGCATTGAGCGGTCCCGCCTCAAAAACAGGTTATAGACAAGTTCATGGCTGAGCAGTTGTGACTCTGGCGAGTCTCTTCGAGTGTCTCTTTTTTGCTGCATCAGATCGGGTGGGTCAGATTGCTCGCCAGCAGGGGTATTAACATCAATGTGTACTCACGGGTGCTGGCTCTTGAGGCTGAAGTCGCCGGTTCGAATCTGTGCTTGCACGGAGGAGGACTTAGGCCCAGACGTACGGAATCCATACTACTGTGAGGTGAAGTCTGATCACGAGCAGAGACGGTTTGGCTACTTCAACCACTTTATTTTTTGCACGTGTGCCTGTTGGACTCTCATTCGCTTTGCTGGGAAGTCTATGCCGTTCTTTGCCGCATGTCGTTTTGTGGGTCAGATCGCTGCGACCCAGGGGCGTCGACGTCAATGTCTACCTGCGGTCATGGCAGCATGAAGGCTGTGAGACGACGTCCGGTTTGGCTACTTCAACCACTTTTTTTTTGCATGTGTGCCAAAATCAGACTCGCATTCGCTTGGCTGGGAAGGCTATGCCGTTCTTTTGCCGCATGTCATTTTGTGGGTCAGATTGCTGCGACCCAAGGGCGTCAACGTCAACGTCAATGTCTACCTGCGGTCATGGTGGCGTGAGGGCTGCGAGACAACGTCCGGTTTGGCTACTTCAACCACTTTTTTTTTGCTCGTGTGCCAAAATCGGACTCGCATTCGCTTGGCTGGGAAGGCTATGCCGTTCTTTTGCCGCATGTCGTTTTGTGGGTCAGATTGCTGCGACCCAAGGGTGTCAACGTCAACGTCAATGTCTACCTGCAGTCATATTGGCGTGAGGGCTGCGAGACGACGTCCGGTTTGGCTACTTCAACCACTTTTTTTTTTTGCATGTGTGCCAAAATCGGATTCGCATTCGCTTGGCCGGGAAGGCTATGCCGTTCTTTTGCCGCATGTCGTTTTGTGGGTCAGATTGCTGCGACCCAGGGGCGTCAACGTCAACGTCAATGTCAATGTCTACCTGCGGTCATGGTGGCGTGAGGGCTGTGAGACGACGTCCGACGACAAACGGAGACGGCTTGACTACACCGACCGCTCACATGTGCCCTTTGAACTCTCTGACTTGATTGCACAGGTCCGTTGTCACGGCCTTTCTGCATATGTCTCGGAAAGCACAGGTCTGTTGATATGGGTGAACTCTGAAGTGAGTGGCTTTGCCTTTCTGTTGCTGTCTGTGGGCCTTGCGCGGCTACACAATACTCAAGACGCATTTGAACGCTTTCTGGACCTGATACATTCACGACATGGGACTCGGTGGAATGCACCTGGTCTTACCGATCGATCGTTTGCTGTGTTCTATTGCTAAGGTGTGCAAGAGATCAGCGAATCGCTTGTCATGCGAGAGGGGGCCCCTTACGAAGGAGAGTGACGTTGGTTTCTGAGAGATCGTCTCAATTTGGAAGGCTGTCGCCGTCCATGAGCTGCGGAAAGCATCTTGATCAGAAATCTGTCAAAGAAAACCTTACGCCTGACGCGAGGAGGCACATGCTTCCCCCTGACTGCTCCCGCACAGGCTTCCTTCTGAGGAGAAAAGGGGGATAGGATGCTGCTGTCCTCTGGATTTTTTGAAATTTTTGCCTGATTTTGAGACTTGGGGCTGAGAATCTGGTCCAGATTTCTTGGAATTGAACGGTGTGTTCAGCGTCGGACGATGGTCGTTACGATGTTCTTTGACGATTGAACTCCCCTTTCCTTTGCTCCTTCCCTCGCCTTTCCGTTCCTTTTGTGCCTGGGCTACGTTTGAGCTGCTCTTCGTGATGATTTCAGGTATGCGCGGTGTTGCCCGGCGAACAGGATCATCGCCGTGGTGGTGTACGGAAATCTCGCTTGCTCACTTTCTCATTGCCGGTTTGGGAGGAAGAGCAGGATTGCATGCCTGCTGTCTCTGGTGGACCCACCAATGAGAGTGGCGCCATTATTGCTGCCCGCCATGTACATCATTCTGGTTGTAGAATAATGGGATATCAGTCTATGATTCCTACCAAGTTTTCAGGTTGTGAATAAATGTACACTGTACAGTAATGCAGTTAAATGCATTCACCGAATTTCACTCGCGGTTGCCTGGTTTTCTGCATTGAATGAAAATGCCAATGCTGTTTGCGATCGGACCAGGCAAAGAGATGTGTTTTCTC